AACTTTTTGGGGCCCGAACATAGGGCGACGAGATCTATACATATCCACTGCTCCTGGCCAGGCCCATCCTGGGCCCAGGAGCTGTGTAGATGCCTCCCTGGCCAGGCCAGGAGGGCGTATACACCGCTCCTGGGCCCAGGATTGGCCTGGCCAGGAGCAGTGGATATGCATAGATCTCGTCGCCCTAGAACACGAAATACAAAAACCTGGGGGGAATGGTGTTGTTCAGTGTGCTCGGCTCGGTGTATCCGGTCTGGCGGATCCTGCCGTGGGTCCAACGCCACATGCAAAGGCAGGACCAATCACCCCAACACCAAGTCCACGCCGATATCTGCGACCCCTGCGATAAAGCGTGCTGCGAGAAGGTTAGGCTCCAAGACGGGCGAAACCACCGTTTCAAGGTGATTGGGACTGGCGGGGGGGGCCTGTCGAGCACGGCCCTGGCCGCCTGGCAGGGAAGCGTGCTGAAGCAAAACTATGATGGCCACCTCCCGTCCCTAGCCAGTCTGATGATGTGGCCGCGTTTGCCACCGAACCAATCGGTGGGGCTGCCGCTCCTTAGCCGAAGCGTTCGCGGATCCTGCTCGTTCTCCCAGACTGGTCGCCCTTCCTCTTTCTTCGCAACCTCATATTCCTCAACACCATCATCACAACAATCGGCATCGCCATCGCCATCGCCATCATCATCGTCATCACCATCAGCATCAGCATGATCACGATCATTAGCATCACCAGCACCACCGCCATCATCGTCATCCAACAAAACAGCCATCGTCGTCGTTACCGCCACCGTCCTCATCACCTGCATCAGCATCGCAACCATCATCCCCACCGCATCCTCATTGGCATCATCAGCATAAGCATCGTCAGCATCACCACCAGCATCACCAGCACCAGCATCGTCAACATCATCAGGACAGCCGTCCCCGGCATGTTTTGCTCGTTCTACCTCTGGCCAATAAGTGGATGGGACACGTCGCTCCTGTCTCATTCGCAGGTACTGCGGCACGCGGCGGGGTGCAGCAACACTCGCCGCAGTGCACGGCGAGGCCCAAAGTGGTGCTGCACGCCAGCGCGGTCGGCTCCCCACCTGTGCCCACGTAGTTGTTGACCGTCCCTCGACATCCATGCGACCATAAATCATCATGCCCATCCTGCACCTGATCCGGCTCTTCGGCAACGGGGGTGCAGGGGTTCCCGTCATACGATCCCCAATTCACCGAGGGCTCCAGGTGTCCCCCGTGCGCTGACGGCATCGGCGCCAGGCAATATGTGGGCTCGGCCTTTCCCTGTGGTGCCACGACATCGTTTTCATCTTGCCACGAGTTCAACTTGAATGCTGCTGTTGGAAAAAAAGAAACCATCTCTGCGCCGGCGCAGCGTCGCATTCCTACCTCGTGGTAGGCTCGTTCGCTTTGAAATGGTGTTCAACGTCACCAACCCACTCGCTCTGTCGAGAGCGTGGCTGGGCATCGTGGAAATATGCATATCTTCATCGTGCTGTTTGGGCCACTGGCGGCTTTACAGTATCAGCGCCCATTAATGTTTTTGGTCCCCCCCGCTGGAAGCACAAAGGTTGTGGTCATCGCACTGGGCGGCGCTATCGCGGTCTTGAAGATTGTGGGCGGCAGCCTCGCGGTGATCATGCTCGTGTGCTGCAGCTTCGTGGCGTTCATGTTCGTGGGCGGCTGCTTGGTTTATATCATGTTCATCTAAGCCTGCGCAGCTCCTGCGGCGCTCACGGTCGTGGGCATTAGCTCCGTGGTGGTCGAGCATCGCGGTGTTCACCCTCGTTGGTGGCAATGGCGTGGCGTTCACGTTCGTGGGCGGCAGCTTCGTGGCGTTCAATTTTGTGGGCGGCAGCTTCGTGATGACCAATCTCGTGAACAGCAGTTTCGTGGTGTCCCGCGTGGCGACAGCTTCGCGGCAAGTTCGCGGTTCCCACGCTCGTGGGCGGCAGCGTCGCGGTTTCCAAGTTCGTGGGCGACACTTCTTCATGACCACGCTCGTGAACACCAGCTCTGTGGCGCAAGCGATCGATCGTGAACGACGGCTTCATGGTGCTCACGCTCGTGGGAAATGGGGGCCCACAGAATATACACCACCACGTCGATTCCTCCTCTCTCCTCTGTCCAGCGAGAGGGAGGGGGGGAGGGAGGTGGTGGTGGTGTATATGTTTTGGCGCCCCAGGAAACAGTTTCGTGGCACTCGCGCCCGTGAGTGGCAGCTTCGTTGCGTTCCCGCTTGTGGGCGGTAGCTTCGGGGTTTTCGCGTCCGTGGGCGGTAGCTTCGGGATGTTCGCGCTCGTGGGCGGCATCTTCGTGTTCACACCCGCGAGCGACAGCCTCGGCTTGTTCACGCTGGCGAGCAACAGCTTCGTGGTTTTTATCCTCGTGGCCGGCAGTTTCGTTGCGTTCGCGCTCGAGGGCAGCAGTTTCTTGGTGTTTACGTCGTGGGCGGCAGCTTCACGGCCTTCATGCTCGTAGGCTGCAGTTTCGTAGTGTGCACGGTTGTTTCCCCCCCTTTGCCGCAACTTCGTGGCGTCCACGCCCTTCGGCGCAACCCCGTGGTGTTCACGCTCGTGGGCGGCAGTTCCTTGATGTTCAAGCTCGTAGGTGCGAGTTTCGTGGTGTTCACGCTTGTGGTCCCTCCTTTACTGGGTGATCGGGTCACCATTGTCAGGCTAACCTTCCACGACATGTCGCGCGCGTTCCATCCCGGGCCCGTTGTGCCTGAGACAGGTCGCTCCTGCTTCACTCGCAGGTATTGCGGCACGCGGCGGGGTGCAGCAACACTCGCGCCGCAGCGCACTGCGAGACCCAAGCTGGTGCTGCAAGCCAGCGTGGTCGGCTCCCCGCCCGTGCCCAAGCAGACATTGATTCTCTTCCGAGAACCATGCGACCATGAATCATCACCACCATCATCATCATCATCATCATCATCATCATCATCATCATCATCATCATCATCATCATCATCATCATCATCATCATCATCATCATCAGCATCATCATCATCATCATCCTTCTCATCATCATCCTCCTCCTCAGCATCACCACCACCATCATCATCATCATCATCATCATCATCACAACCACCACCACACCACCACCATCATCATCATCATCATCATCATCAATCATCAGCAGCATTCATCATCATCATCATCATCATCATCATCATCATCATCATCATCATCATCATCATCATCATCATCATCATCATCATCATCATCATCATCATCATCATTTTCATCATGATCATCATCATCAGCATCATCATCATCATCATCGTCATCATAATCATAATCATAATCATAATCATCAGCATCATCATCAGCATCATCATCGTTACCATCATAATCAGCATCACCATCATCATCAGCATCCTCATCATGATCATCATCCTCATCTTCATCAGCATCATGATCATCAGCATCATCATCGCCACCACCACCCCAACCATCACCATAATCAGCATCATCAATAATCAGAATCAGCATCAGAAGCATCATTATAATCTTCATCAGCATCCTCATCATTAGCATCCTCATCATCATCCTCCTCAGAATCAGCAGCATCATCATGCTCTTCAGCATCACTATCATCATCAGCATCTGCATCAGCATCAGCATCATCATCATCATCAGCATCATCATCATCATAAGCATCCTCATCTTCATCAGGGTCAGCATCATCATCAGCATTATCAGCATCGTCAGCATCATCAGCCTCACCATCAGCATCACAACGATCAGCATCATCACCAGCATCAGCATCATCCTCATCATCAGAATCACAATCCGCATCATCATCAGCCTCACCATCATCGACATCGTCACCATCGCTCTCGTCTTATTCATACTCATCATCAGCATCACCCATATCAGCATCATCATCGTCATCGTCATCAGCATCAGCACCGTCAGCATCATCAATAAGATCCGAGTCATCATCATCAGCAACATCATAATAATCATCAGCAGTATCATCATCATCATCATCATCATCATCATCATCATCATCATCAGCATCAGCAACATCATCATCATCATCATCATCATCATCATCATCATCATCATCATCATCATCATCATTTTCATCATGATCATCATCATCAGCATCATCATCATCATCATCATCATCATCATGATCACTATCATCATCACAATCGTCATCATCATCGTCTTCATCATCATCGTCAACATAGAGGTCGTCGTCATCATCATGATCAGCATCAGCATGATCCTCGTGATCATCTGCATCATCAGCATCACCAGCATCACCATCATCGTCAGCATCATCATTCACATCATCATCAACATCATCATCATCATCAGCAGCAGCATCATCATCAGCAGCATCATCATTCCTCGTCCCCCGACCCCTCCATCTACGTGTCCCACATCTTCGACGCCCCATCTCCCACGTTCCCCCGTCCCTTCCCCTTCCCCTGCCCCATCCTCCCCCTCTGGTCTGAACTCACACTCAGAACGGCAGACGCTTCGGCGCCTCGGCCTTGGCGATGTTCAGGGTGAGGCCGATGACGTGCACGACGTTCCTGGGCGGACCGTGGAACTGGCAATGCGCACACGGTGCGCGCGGGCTTGCGCCGCGCATCGCCCCGCCGAAGCGCCCCACGTGGGCCCAGAATCCAATGATGTGTCGCTGCACTGCTCTGCCACGGCAGCCGAGGTCCGCCTGCCGGGCGTGGACGAACCATGCTCTGTGCAGTCCTCTGCTCAGCCAATCCCACCAGCCCTCCTGGCGCACGTGGTCTGGGGCGGTTTCGCTTTTAACTTCCATCTTCCCCTTCGGGGAGGCATTTCCCCCTCCCCCTAACCCCTCCCCTTGATCTGAACAGGGCGCCCCGCGAGGCGTTGGAGCGTCCAAGATGGCCCTAGACGGCTTCAAGAAGGCCATGGATAGTCCAAGTCGGAGAGGCTGTGATGATGGCGGTGAAGGTTACAATGGCGATGGCTGTGATGACGATAACGAAAAAAAAGGAAGAAAGAAAAAACGACCAGCCGGGTTCTGTTCATGATGATGCCGATGATGACGGTGGCGATGGGGGCAATGCTGATGATGCTGATGATGATGAGGAGGACGCTGCGGATCGTGCTGATAATGATGATGATTAAGATGATACTGATGATACTGGTGATTGTGATGGTGATGACGATGATGACGGCGACGATAACGATGATGCTGCTAACGATGGTGTTGATGCCGGTGATGTTGAGGATGATGGAAATGCTGATGATGGTAACGATGATGATGGTGCTGATAATAGTGTGGACGACTCCGTGGCCAGACGATTCTTTTTGTGCAAGAGGGCGCCAGGCGAGGACTCGAAATCTGATGCCGCAGAGGCCAGCACCAGGCCGAAAAAAACATTCTTGAGTTGGGAGACAAGGGGGGGAGGGAGAGACTTGAGAATGGAAGCGCGGCCCGAAAGAGAGCCACAAATAGCCGCGGGCAGCATAATGTGGACGACTCCGTGGCCAGACGATTCTTTTTGTGCAAGAGGGCGCCAGGCGAGGACTCGAAATCTGATGCCGCAGAGGCCAGCACCAGGTAATATGGCTAGTCCAAGACACTGGCTGAAAGCCGCAATACTTGAATGAAAACTCACACACATCTCGATAGTCGGGAGACGTATCGAAGGCTATCGACGCTGTTGGCCATCATTTCACATGCGAATCGTAGGATACAGGCAGGTGGGTGGCGCGCAGCGCTGCGCATCTGGCGGTCGAACGATGGGATGCCTAACTCGCCGAGGTGTCGCTTGCGAGTGCGACGGCACGGCGAGGCAACAGGCGAACAGGTCAGGGATAGCCGATCAATATTCTTTACGCTCCAGCTTACAAGCCGAAATCTGCTTCTGACGCGACCAGCGCACATGCATGAGTCGAAAACTGTCGAAGAAGAACACTGGCTCACAAGAGTGGTGCACGCACGGCCGCCCCATATGAAAGACGCGTCGGGATGGCATAAAATGGCGGGCACTTTCTTCCCACAGCATTCAGACAGGACGCGCAAGTACTGATCCTGGAAGAGGTTGGCGATGCAAACAGATCGAGCTTGACAGTTGGTCAAAGACGGGAGGCCGCGAAGATACAGCTTAGACCGCGCAGCAGGGGACTGACGAAGCCAGGCGGCGGCGTCGGGCTCCACCCACACGCACGAGAGGCAGCTAGAACGAACCCAGCCTAAGACGCGCCGTATCACTGCGGGATCGGTGATGTCGTCACCTGCGTGGCGACTCGAGTCGAGGTGCACGACGCCAAAGTCCAACCGCTGCAGGGCGCGGACCGCCCCACCGTCGCAGCCGAGCACCAGCGCAGGGCAGCACCTGCTTCTCGTAGACGCCCGCCCGCCTGGCAGAGCGCCAGAGGCGCGTCAGGCGAAGGCCCACCGTGCAGTGATATGTGGGGGCTGCGGCTTGACAGCAGGCGGCGTCGGCGTCACTGCCAGAGGCACCTTCAGTGGGAAGACGCCCGAGGCCGTGGTCTGCAGGATGAGGTCGTTCATCTGCGTGTCCACCTGCTCGCCGAACTCCACGACGTTCTGGCATAGGCTGGCGATCCGCTGCTGCATGCGGGCCCGCTTCGCGTAGCGGAGGAGGCTCTGGTCCGTCCTCCAGCGGCCGCGGTCCTTGACCTCCTTCCTCGCGCGCCTGAGCGACAGCAGGTCGTCGGACGCACCCCCATGACGAAGCGAGTAGAGAGTCAACTCGGTCTCCAGACCGAGGGCAGCTGCCGCTCGACGGAACATACTCCGCACCTCGTCGGGGGCGAAGGTCCACAGGCCGTCGGTCGGGCCCTTGTCGTGAACCAGGGCCTCCAGGAGCGGCCAGATGGTCGGGTTGTCGACGATCACGCCCTCGCCCATCTCGCCTGCCTTGCCAGGGCGGTCGAGGCAGGCGTCGTTGACGATCAGGGCCCAGCGGCCGTATCCCAGGACGCCGTCGGGTCGAGGTCGCATCACGCCCCCCGCCGCGAGGCGGCATGCCTCGCTGGGCCTCAGGCATGCGTCGAACATCAGCCTGATGAACACAGCCATGCCGAAGAGCTTCCACGCTATCAGGACACCCACGATGGGCGCCATCGCCGCTCGAGGAAGAGGCAGCCGCATCTGAGGGGGAACGAGCTTCCGCCAGCCTGTCAAGGCGCGAGCCGCCCGTGGGCACGGAGTCCTGCCAGCGAGGATCGCGGGCAGGTAGTGCTTCAGAGCGGCCATGAGTACACGGCCCGTGGCACTGTCGAAGCCGTCCAGAAAGAGGTTCACGAAATAGGTAACTAGGATGGCATCGACCTCCTCTGCCGTGGTGAACGTCTGGGACGTCCAGCGGCACCACTCCTCGAACCTCTTGGCGGCGCCCCAGTAGTTGGCCATGGTCGTGTCCGACACGGCGGCCGTCTCCAGCACCGACAGGGCCCCTCGGGCGAGCAGCACTGGCCCAGGATGGGTCCCGGTCCTCTGCTCCGCCAGCGTCGTGGTCCGCTGCCGTCGAAGTTCGGGGGGCATTCGCTTGGTGCTCCTCGAAGGTCGGGCCGACGAAGAAGCCCGCCCTGGACGGCGAGTCGGCGGCATTGCTCTCGCTGGGGATCCACCGAATGGCGTGGCGGATGCCCGTGGCCGCCGACAGGGCGCATAGACGGCGTAGAGGGTCGCGAAGGCCTCGGGCGCCAGAACGGCCCTTGCCAGCGGCAAGAGCTAGAGCCAAAATGTCAACGGTGAACAGGATGCGATGATGACGAAGCCGCCCAGCCCGAGCCGAGTGTCGCATCGCAAACCCGAGAGCCTCCGCCTCGTATCGCATAATGTCCAAGCCGGACCTCGAGTGACGCGAACTGTGCATCGTGGCCCAGCCGTCGAAAGCCGCGATCGAGTCGGGAACTTCGTCGAAGCCGTCGAGGGAGGCAGCGTCAGCTGGTTGATGTAACGATGATGGCGTAGACGGGGGGCCCTCAGGGGTCTTAGGAGACCTCGGACTGCGGCGGCGTTCTTCGAGGCAATTTTTCTCCACGGTAGCTTCAAGCACAGTGCGAGGCTCGATCCCGAGAGCGTGGGCACGGGCGCGCACGGCGTCGGAGAACCGATAGCGCCATCTCTCAGACAGGCGCCCAGCGGCCGCGACGACCTCCTGGTCGGCGGTCTTGCGGCGCACCCCGATGCCGCAGGGGGAGGCGTCGCTGCAGAAAGTAGTCGCCGACCACTCTGCTCTGACGTCGGCCCACCATAGCGGTATGAGGGCGGCTGCCGCGCGCAGCTCGGCGATGACCGACGGCCACAGCGGCACGGCCACTCGGGCGTCCAGGCTCATGAAGCGGTAGACTGCGTTGAAGATCGACAGCATGGGCCTATTGGTGATCATGCCCCACGCACAGTGACCCACCACTGCTGACAAGGCCAAGGGCGATGCGAAGCCACGTCTAAGTAGACCAAGCAGGGCTTGACGCAACCGGCAGAGCCTGTCGATCTTACAGCGGACGATGCCGACGTCGCCGAGAATGTCCAAGCCAGTGAAGACCACGCGCTCGGCGGCGGGGGCGAACTCGTCGACGGGCAGACCCCTCGACACGAGCACGTCACGCATGGCCTGGCAGGCTGTCGCGGCCACCTCAGGGTCGAGGGACACGGTGGCAAAGTTGTCTACGTAGCCCGCGCCAATGACGTCGGAGTCCTTCCGCCACGGGGGGATGGCAGCTCCGCCCACCAGCAAAGAGCTCTCGTCGATACCCGAGTCGAGGATGGCCGTGGTCACGGCGGACTGGCAGAAGTGGAGGGCCCAGGGCCAACCCATCGGCATGACGGAGACGAAGGGCTGCAGGAAGGCGTCCGCCCCGATATTCATGCCATTGAGCCGCTTGGAGCCCAGGTACCGATTCGGGACGACGGGCAAAGAAAAATATCGATGCAGATGTGGCGGTAACTTCACGTGGTAGAAAGCGCACTGAATGTCGCCCTGGGCCACGTAGAAGTCGCGGTCGGCCTCGAGCGCGCTCCATGCCGACGGAGTCGGCAATCTCGTAGAGGGAGGGGCAGAGAAGGACATGTTGGCCACCCGCGTGTCGAAGACGAGGCGCAGGTTGACGCCGTTGGACTTCTCGACGAAGAAAAAGCCAGTAGAGTAGGTAGCCTGACGATCGGCGACCTCCCACTCAAGCATGCCAGCCTGGTCCAGGCGTAGCAGAAAATCAGCATACTCCCGAGGGCGAAACCGAAGGCGTGGATCCACATAGGGCGACCCCAGACCCGAGTCCTTCCTGAGAGCAGCTGCATCAGCAGGGTCACGTAGCATTTGATGCATCCACCCTGCCAACATAGAACGATCGGCGTCAGACACGAGGTCGGCCGTCGGGACAGGCGCCACGCGCTTCGGCCAGGAGGCGAGCTCCTTGTTGTAGGGTCTCACCCGAGACTCTCCAGAGTACCCAGGCGCCGATGCGAGCAACTCTGCGAGGGCTGCCTCGCATCTTGGAAGAGATTCGGAATATCCAGGAGGTAATTCAAAATCGCGATACTGCTGAGCAAGATACTCCTCAGCGTAACTACGAGCACGCGGAGGAAGACCAGGAGGCGGGCGGATCACATCGTTCGGGCCGCAGTGGTACATGTCGTTGAGCGTGGGCACCGCGTCGCTGCACCACTCCCGCCACGCAGCACCCCTGGCGGCCCGTCTGCTTGCCGACCCGCCCATGGATGAAGTCCCTGATCTTCGCTCCACAGGAATAGGGCGGAGGGGGAAAACGTCTCGCCGTCGAAAGGGTGGTGCAGCGAGGGGGCAATGAGCCTGGCTGGCGCCACTGTGGCGCGCCCCGCAGCCAGGCCTGAAGTTCTCAGGCGTCATGGCGCCCGCAAGGCCCGCTCCTCGCGAGCCTTGCGGCGCTCTTTGCTGATGGCGGCCTCCGCCCTCATCTGGTCTGCGATGTACTCCAGCAACTTCGGCGAGATGCAGAGATTGGCCTTGGAGACACCAGCGCCGAGGAAGTAGCTGGTCTCAGGTGAGCTGGAAGTCCCAGCTGAGGCGCCGCCTCTAGCCGCGGCCTTGGCCTCGGGGGCTGCGCCACTCGGAGGTGGCGATCGCGCCTCGCACACCCGCTCATCTAGGAGCTGAAGTTGGCGAGCGATGATCTCGAACGAAGCCATCTCGGCGATCTGCAGCTGATCGTGCACGACGGCGAGGTCCAGGACGCGGCAGAGCGTATCGTGCAGCTTGGCGCGCTCGTCCTCGTCGGGCAGGGCCATCGACGCGAGCCACCTCTGGTGCCACGCGGTGGGCGTACCCGCCATCGTCGACATGAAGGACAAACGCCAGAGGAGGGTCCTCGGCCCTTGCACGGGCCAACCCTGCACAGGGGTCTCAGCGAGGGCGTTGACGGTCTCTCCGAACCTCCTCTCGCGCTCGCCCCTCGGGTTGAGCAGCATCGGGAGGACCCTGAAGTCGCCAGTGCGGGCAGGCGCCCCAGGGGCGGCGGCGGCGGGCGCAGCCTCCAGTGCAGGAGCGGGCACCAGCGGCAGAGGCCCAGCAGGCCCAGGCGGGGCGGCCCCCAGCGCGGCGGCCAGTGCAGCGACGCCAGGGGCGACGCCGAGAGGGGCCGCCGCAGCGGCCGCGGCCGCGGGGGGCATCGCCAGCGGGGCCGCGGCCCCCGCAGGCAGCGCCGCCCCCTCCCCGCCAGGAGGTGGAGGCAGGGCGGCAGGCAGCGGGGCTGCGGCAGCCGCAGGGTCCGCCAGCGGGAAGGGACCAGGCGGGACGCCTACGACGCTGCCCGCCGCGAGCGCCAGCGGCAGAGGGTCGGGGGGCCTCGGGTAGCCTGCGGCCACCGAGCGCGCGACAGCCGCCCACAGCTCAGCGGCCGTCGGAAGGCGGCGAAAACGGTGCACCGCGACGCCCGCCAGCGCTGGCGGCGTGTCGCCTTGGCCCGCGAGCTGCAGGACCGCTCGCACGTCGGGGCCGACGACGATGGGCTCGTCGTAGTCGTCGAAGTCGGGCGTGAGGATGTAGCCGAGGCCCCCGTTGACGCCCAGCAAGAGGCGCTCGTGCCACAGGGGTACGCCGCCGACGCGGTAGCGCAGCACGTGGAAGCTGCCTGCCATCACTGCAGCGCAGGGGCGCGGGCTCTGGCGTCACGAACCTGCTGAGCCGCGAGGGCGGCGATGTCACTGCCGTCCACGAACTCCACCACGGCGGGCGGCTGGCGGGGCGTCGGTCCGAGAAGCCGCCGCGCCGCCCAGGCGCCTCCCACGGCCCCGAAAGCGAGGCCGATGGTCAGCGCGGCCACCGAGTAGGCCGTGACGAGGCCCAGACACGAGGGCTCGACCACGTGCCCGCCCGCGCCAGCGCAGACGCAGGCGGGGCAGGAGAGGGTCGGAGGCGCAGGGCAGGCCAGGTGCGGCGAGCAGGCTCCGCAGCTCGGCGCGGCGGCCCGCGCCACGACAGTGGCCCCCAGCGCCTGCGCCCCGTACCTCAGGACGTCCGCCGCATGGTGGGCGATGTCTTGCATCACTGGGAAAGACACCTGAGAGACTTGAGAATGGAAGCGCGGCCCGAAAGAGAGCCACAAATAGCCGCGGGCAGCAGAATGATGATGGTGATGGTCATGATGCGGACGATGACGACGACAGCGATGATGCTGCTCCGGGTTATGATGACGTTGGTGATGATGAGTGTCCTGGTGATGGTGTTACGACGATGATGATGATGATGATGATGATGATGATGATGTTGACAGTACTGATGATGCATTTAAAGACTGTTCGCTCCTATCTGCTCGCGGGCCACTCAACACGTATATCCCGAACCCTCAATACCCGCCCTCTTCGTCTACGATGGTACCCCCTGGGGGCACTTATCTTTAATACCTGCAACGTGTATTTCGTGCAGCCCTTAAGGCGCGCAAAGAGTGGACGGATAGAAGAAGGGAGGAGGATGGAGCACGAGAGAGAGTAGCATGAGGGGGGTTAGGAGCAGAAAACACGGGGCAAAACCAAACGGGACCCCAACAGGCGGGTCGGGAAGGCGGGCCCAGGCGTTCAGGTCGAGCCGGCATGTTGCTGAAGCGTGCGTCCTGCATGATCGCGAGCTAGTCTAGAGCGATAGCGCGATTCCCAAATGAATCGTCAGGGAATCCAAAGCGAGAGCGTGATTCCTGAGTGTCGAAGGTACGGCGTCTGAATAAATGACGAAGAAGTCCATCGCGAGAGCGCGATTCCTCTATAAATTGTGGGGTCGTCCCGCGCGAAAGCGCGTTGTTGTTGTTGATGTTGTTGAACTCTCACTTCTGGCAAATAATTATTGTTGATCCCCCCGTCCGGTGCACATTGTTTTTTTCGATTGGCGTGCCCTTCCCGGGGCTCGCACCTTGTTTTTTTTTGCTCGGAAAATCTTAAAACTCAAACTGTGTCGTTGGCCCCCAGTTTACAACGACAACAACAACAACAACAACAACAACAACAACGGCCCCCGCCTGATACTTCCGCACAGTGTATTGAAGAATCGCGCTCTCGCTTCGGACTTCCTTGCAATTTACCATTGGATCGCGGTTCCCGCTTGATACTTCCTTACAATTGATTGAAGAATCACAATCCCACTTGCGGTTCCCGCGTTCCTCTCGACACCTCTGCAGTTTTCACTATCCCTCCGCCCCACTCTCCCAACATCCCGCTTCTTTTCAGGGTTCCACGAAATTTGTTTCTGACACCACTTCGCCGCTGTACGCCCCCCCGTTGGGGTATCCACGATTTGTTCTTTCAAGGGGGTGGTACGTGGCGCTGTTTATGGCGCGCCCCATGACGAAACTTATTGTTAACCTGTGTTGGAGTGGCTGGCGCAAGCCATGGCGCAAGCTGAATCGCCACTCGCAGCGCAAATCATCGTCCTCCCTCCTTCTTGCCCCTCCCCAGCCTTCCTCCGACCCCTTCGTCCTCATTCTCCCCCGTTATCCGCCGACCCCTTGGGATTCATCGGCGCGTGAGACGTTCCCCCTCCCCAAACCCCTCCCCCGGGAGCCCGGTCCGGTCGATTTGGAGGGGGGGGGGGGTCGGGCCGGATCCCCCGGATGGGAACGGAGGGGTCATCCGCTCCCGAAAATCGTGCAAAACCTCGTGAAAATCGTGCAGGGACTCATCTGGTGGCCTCGACATGGCTCTGGGACGCCCAACGAGCGCTCCAAGCCGCCCAAGGTGGCCCAAAGACGGGCCACGAGGCGTCCTCGACGGCAGAAGAGGCCCCCACGAGCCCCCCCGAGGGCCTCCGAGATGCGTTCCACGAGGGTCTCTAGACGCAAAAATTTGCCCATCCCCTTCGTGAAACGTACATTTTTCACAAATTCGGCTTTGGGCCTTTCCGACGCTCCCCGACGGCCCAAGAGGCCCCCAAACCCGCTATCAGACGGCCCCAGGAGCCTCGCAGAGGGTGCCCCACATACCCCTAGAGGGCCCCAAGACGGGCCAACAGGCCCAAGAGGGCTCCGAAAACGGCCCCAAGAGCGCTCCAGGAGCGTTCCGAGCGGCCTCCACAAAGCTCCACACGGTCCCAGACGGTCCAAGAGCGATCACAAACATCGACGACGGCCTCCCGACGGCTCAACAGGCCCCCAAGACGGCCCAAGAGGCATCCAAGATTCGCCCCAAGAGGCCCTCTAGACGCAAAAAAACGCCCGTTCCCTTTGTAAAACGTATATTTGTTCACACGTGCGCCTTTTGGGGTGCCCCCCGCTCCTGGACGGCCCCAGAGCCCCCCAAACCCGCTCCCAGACGGCCCAAGACGCCTCCAAGAGGTTTCCCCGTATAGCCCTAGAGGGCCCCAAGACGGGCCAACAGACGTCCAAGACGGCCCAAAAGGGCTCAGAAAACGGCCCCGACAGCGCTCCAGGAGCGCCCCGAGTGGCCTCGGAGAGAGCTCCACATGGCCCCCGACGGTCCAAGAGCGATCAAAAACACTGGCGACGACCTCCAGACGGCCACAGAGGCCCCCAAGACGCCACAAGAGGCATCCACGATGCGCCACAAGAGAGCCTCTAGACGCACAAAAACGCCCGTTCCCTTCGTAAAACGTATATTGTTTCTCGCACGTGCGCCTGTTGGGGTGTTCCCCGCTCCCGAGCGGCCCCAGAGCCCCCCAAGACCGCACCAAGACGGTCCAAGAAGCCTCCACGAGGGCCCCGCGACAGCCCAAGAGGGCGCCAAGACGGGTCAAGAGGGGCCGAGGACGGCCCAAGAAAGCCCCGAAGACGGCGCGCGCGCGCGACTCGCGGTCAGATTCCTCGCAACTGGCGTTGCTTCCCGCCGTGCTCGCCACTTGCTTCCGCAGGGCGTTTCGGCTGGTCTCTTCGAGGCGCCCGCCCCGCCTTATAGCACTTGGCGCGAACCACCAGATTGCCTCGGTGGAAATAAGTATTCTTCTGGTCTTTCGAGAGATGGCCGCCGTCAGTGAACGTTGGCTTTGATCCGTCCTTTTTCACGGGACATGCAGAGCATTCCAACTTCTTCGCGATCTGCCTTTGCTCGTGGCACGCTCGGCACACCACCGAACGATGGGCCGAACCCTTCTTGAAGAAGGCGGTCACTTGCTTATCTGTCAGATGCGTCCTGTCCGTGAATTCTCGCTCTTTCCCATCTGCTTCTTTCGGGCACGCGGAGCACGTGAGCACTCGCGACTGATTGCGTTCTTCCTGGCACGCGCGGCACATGACTGGGCGATGGTCCGAACCCTTCGCGAAGAAGTGCTCCACTTGCTTATCTGTCAGATGCGTCCTGTCCGTGAACTCCCGGCCTCTTCCATCTGCTTATGTCGGGTACGCGGAACACCTGAACACCCGCGAGCGCTTGTGATGCGCGTCGCAGTCGCGGCATTTCACTGGCCTATGGCCTGCGCCCGTCTGATAATAGTGCTTGGTTTGGTCTGCTGTCAGATGCCTCGCGTCCGTGATTTCCCGCCCTCGGGCCCTGGCCGAAGGCCCCACCGGATCCACCTGACCCCGAAATCCCCCAGATCGCCTCCAGGTCGCGCCAAGAGGGTCCACCAGGCGACGGGACGACCCGCGAGAGCTCCAGGACGGCTCCCGAGAGGTTCATGGCGCGCCAAAACAGCCTCAGAGGACGCCGAGACGGTTCCGCTTAAGGTCAGGAAGGGCCAAGATAGCTTCACAGTGGCCTGAAACGATTGAAGGTCACCCCACGGCCGCCCCTGACGGTTCCAAAAGACACCGCAAAGCAGTTCTGAGGTCACCAAGGGCATACCACAGTCCTCGGCAACAGATGGCGACGGCCAAGACGGCCGAAAAGAACGCCCAGAGCGCCCCATGACAGCCCAAGAGAAGCCGATGACAGCCCAAGAGAGCCCCAAGACAGCCCAATACTGCCACAGGACGGCCTAAGGGGCCCCAAGACAACCCAAGAATGCCCCCAGAATGGCCCAGGGGCCTCAGACCACCCAAAGAGGCGACCAGACCACTGCGCGATTCTTCATAAGGGGTCGGCGGATGTGGCGTAAGCCTGAAGAATCTGTTACCCTTCGTTTTCAAGGGCTTCACCAACCACACGTGGCAGGGAATGAATCTACCCCCCAAAAGGGGGGTACGATCGAAGAAGAAGAGGGCGGGTATCCAGGGTTTGGGATCTGCATATTGAATGACGCGCGAGCAGATAAGAGCGAACAATCTTCAAATGCTTGCTGTTAGTGTTGTAGACCGGAGCCGTTGTTGTTGTACACCGGGAGCCAGGGGCCCAGTTTGATGACCCTCGCTTCCCCTTATAAAAAAGATGCGAGCACTGGGAGAAGCAGCTGAATTTCAAAACCAATATAGTTATTGGAGAGGGGATCAACAATAGCTATTTTTTGAAATCAGAATTCAACAACAGTAACAGCAATCAGTTTACCCGAATGCTCTCCACATGGAGCAAGCATTCATCATGATAGCTCCCCTCATGGAGGATTTTCCTTGCACAGGGGGGTCCAATACTCGCTTACCCAGACAACCTGCCCGAGGAGGTCTTGACAACACCTCTTGCGAGGCAACTGTTCATCCCCAGCCCGGATGGCACATCGCCATCGCGATCGCCCTGAACATGCTTTGCTTCTAGGTATCATCACGCCCGAGTGGCCTAAAACCTCTGGGAGAGGCCCCACAACCAAGGAATCCGCAGGAACCCCCAAAAACCCGAAGGAATCCTAAGAAGTCCTGTGGAATGCGCGTGGGGGTGACTCTCTGGCGAATCCAACTCAACTCGTGAAAATTCGGCGGAATCCAGAGAGAAGCTGTGAAGCCGAATGGACGCTACGAGGGAGATGGATGGAGCACGAGAAACATCAGCACGGGCTGGTAAAAGCAGGAGAACAACTGGGCATCGCTCGGACGTCCATTCCCTGTGTTTTTTTTCGGTTCCGTGCGTGGCTTTTGCGCCAAATGATCAAGGATGCTTCTGGTGTTTGCGCCAAAGGATCAAGTGTTTTTGTTCGGCTTTTGCGCCAACGGTCCTCGCCAAAGGAAAAATGCACACTGACTACCTACCAGACCACCCCAACCCAAGCCGAAGACCCGAATTTCGGGTTGGGGGGGGTAAGGGTTCCACGTGTGTTTGTTCGATGTTTCCCGACCCCCCCCCCACTGGAAATCGAGGGTAAATCTGAGCCTTCGGGTTGGGTTGGGGTGGTTTGGTGGGTGGTGACACACGTCCGAACGATGCCAAGACAAGCAGCAGAGCCAGACGGGCGGGCAGGGTGGGCGGACCCATAGCAGGGCGGCTCGGGCGAACGGGCCCCGACGGCCAGGCCGAGCGGGCGGGTCGCCGAAGTGTCACTCCAGCGCACACTGCGAGGAGGTCTCGGGCGACGGCGCCGAGCCAAAAGCGAGAGCGTGAGCGAGAGCGTGATTCCTGAGTGTCGGGGGCGCGGCGTCGGAATACATGGCAAGAAATCCCACACACGAGCGCGATCCCCTGACATGTTGTGGGGAAGCACCGTTCGAGAGCGCAATTTAGAATACTCTGGGAGGAGGGAGGTATCAGGCGGGAACCGTTGTTCTGGTGAACGCGGGGCACCATCACAACCTTAGGCGCAATATTCCCCCGTGTGTGCAATATTCCCCCGTGTGTGAAAGCAAGGCGCGAGGCCCGGAAGGGACACGTCAATTGAAAAGCCAGCGGGCACCGCGCGGGGGGGGGGGGGGGCACAAGAATGATTGTCTATAACTTTCTTGACTACTGAGAATTCGACGACGACAACAACAACTACGACAACAACGACAACAGCAACAACAGCAGCAACAACAGCAACAACAACAACAAACACAGCAGAAACAACCTCCTCCGCCTGGGCCCCAGAACCCTCGTGAGGAGGCCCCGAAGACGTAAGGACCCCCCCTCCCGAGCCTCCAGGGAAGCCCCTGGTTCCCAAGACCTGCGGGATCCCCCCGCCGAGACCCCTCGAGGACCACCCGAGGAGGCACCGAGAAGCAAGAGCCGTCCGACGAAAGTCGTCAAGGGCCAGACCACCGTGCAGAGGACGAGGAGGAAGCGGAGCGAAGCGAAGCGAATGCCACAGTCGTGCGCGCTCCACGGGGGAGCCCGCCCGTGCCCGGCAGGGCACGGCGTGAAAGCCCTGGCCTCAGACTTGAGCATCCTCGGCTCACCACAGCTCTGCTCTGCTCTGCCGACGACGTTGACGATGAGAACGACGACGACGACGACGACGATAGCGCCGACGACGACGACGACGACGACGACGACGACGACGACGACGGCGACGACGACGACGGCGACGAGGACGAGGACGAGTACGACGACGACGACGACGACGACGACGACGACGACGACGACGACGACGACGACGGCGAGGTGGAGGAGGTCAAGGACAGAGGGAGAGGAAAGGAGCGAGAGGGAGGGGGAGGCATGGGCGGGGTCCCTCGCCTCCTCCTCCTCCTCCTCCGCCTCCTCCTCCTCCTCCAGGGAGGGCGAGGGAGAGGAGGGAGGAAGGACGCGGGCCCGTCCTCTGCACCACCCGCATCTCACTGAGGTCCTTGCGACCCTTCTTGTCCTTGCGCGGGGGGAGCATCAGCATCGTCAGCATCAGCATCAGCATCATCATCATCAGCAGCATCAGCATCAGCATCAGCATCAGCATCAGCATCAGCATCAGCATCAGCATCATCATCATCATCATCATCATCATCATCATCATCATCATCATCATCATCATCATCATCATCATCATCATCATCATCATCATCATTATCATCATGATCATCATCAGCAGCAGCATCATCACAATTACTATCGACATTGCCATCACCATTATCAATATCATCAGCAACTTCAGCATCAGCATCATCAACATCACCATCAGATTCCTCATCACTCCTCCTCCCTACATCATCACACCTCATCCCCAGACATCCCACGACAGGATCTTTTCAAAACGCGCGGCCCCAGTCGCCGCGACCCCTTCCTGGGGGCCAGTCTCTCGACCCTGAACAACTTGTCACTGCCCCAGGGGCCTGACACTCGGCCCCAGAGGCCAAAATCGAGAACGCCCGGATTGAAAACACATCGTCAGGGAAGACCTGGGCCTACTCACGGCGCCGAGCCGCTTCCGCGGGAGGAGGCGGAGAGATCGTGCTGGACGACGTCTCCCTGGGACCGCCGGCAATCACCACGGGGGCGAGCAGGGGCCCATCATCGGGGAACCGGGCGGCACACCGTCGCAGTCGCCCGCTCGAGCCTCACGAGGTGGACGCCGGCAGCCACGGCGGCTTCGAGATCGGGGAGACGGACGCCGAGGTGAGCGCCCCGGAGAAGAACGAAGGGCAGCCGAGCGACAGCCAGTCGTAGACCAAGAGGTAGCCAGCGAGCCCATCGTCGAGACAGCCCCTCCCTGCACCCTCAAGTCGGGCCTGTCCCCCTACAGGGGGATCTCGGGCGAGAGCATGAAGATACTCAAAAAATGCCTCCTAATGGTCCAATGGACTATGTTTGAACATTCCTCCTGTAGAGAGACATGCCCGACTTCAATTGAGGGATGAGAAAACGACCCTACCCTGGGTTACAAGTGCGTGGTCTGCAAACCTTCTGGGAACCCCCAAAGCCTAGAGCCGCCAGGACGCGGCGCATCACGCAGGGTTTACCCTGTCAGCCCACAGGAGTTTCAGCGCACAGCGCCTCGTAAACCAGGGTCAGGGCGTTTTTTCTGCCCTTGATTCAAGCGAGCTCCTCGTCGTGGCCGCCCCTCCCTGCACCCTCCTCCTGCAGCAGAGGCTCCTTCCGCTGCCTCAGCTGCTCCGCGTGGCGGGCTCTGAGGTCGCGCTCCTCCTCCTCGCCGGAGTGAGGGGGGGGCAGCGGCTCCCGCCGCCAGGCAACGTCCACGACTGCGGCGGGCCTCACCTCAGGTTCGCCGTCATCGCAGATGCGTGGAGATTTTGGAAGGCTCACGGGTTTTGACAAACACGCTGATTCTTCTGTGTACCTCCTCCTCCTCCTCCTCCTCCTCCTCCCTCCTCCTCCCTCCTCCTCTCCTCCTGCTCCTGCTCCTGCTGCTCCTGCTACTCCTCCTCCTCCTCCTCCTCCTCCTCCTCCTCCTCCTCCTCCTCCTCCTGTTCCTCTTCCATCTCATCATCATCATCATCATCATCATCATCATCATCATCATCATCATCATCATCAGCATCATCACATCATCATCATCATCATCATCATCATCATCATCATCATCATCATCATCATCATCATCATCATCATCATCATCATCATCATCATCATCATCATCATTATCATTATCATTATCATTATCAGCAGCATCATCATCACCATCAGCATCAGCATCATCATCGTCATCATCATCAGCAGCAGCAGCATCAGCATCACCATCATCAGCATCCTCATCAGCAGCATCAGCATCATCATCATACTCAGCAGCATCATCATCAGCAGCATCATCATCAACAGCATCAGCATCAGTATCATCATCCCCATCGTCATCATCATCATCATCATCATCACCATCATCATCAGCATCATCATCGTCATCATCAGCATCATCATCCTCATCCTCATCATCATGATCATCATCATCATGATCACGATCATTATCATCATCGTCATGATCATCACCACCATCATCAGAATCAGCATCATCATCAGCAGAGCAGCAGCATCCTCAGCATCATTATCAGCATTATCATCATAATAATCATCATGACCATCATCATCATCATCATCATCATCATCATGTTCATCATCATAATCATCATCATCGTCATCATCATAAGCATCAGCATCATCATACTCATACTCATCATCATCATCATCATCATCATCATCATCATCATCATCATAATCATCATCATCATCATCAGCATCATCGTCGTAATCGGTATCACCATCATCCTCAGCAATATCAGCATCATCTCCATCGTCATCATCAGGATCAGCATCATTAGCATCAATATATGCATCAGCAGCAGAGGCATCGTCATCGTCATCAGCATCAGCCTCAGCATTATCATCAGCATCATCTCATCATCAGCATCATCATCAGCATCATCATTATCATCATTATCATAATCATCGTCATCATCATCATCATCATCATCATCATCATCATCATCATCATCATCATGATACAGCAGCGTCAGCATCAGCAATAGCATCAGCATGATCACAAGCATCAGGATAGTCACCACTGTCATCATCATCAGCAGCCGCATCATCAGGATCATCGGCGTTATCATCATCAGCATCGTCATCGTCATCATCATCATCATCATCATCATCATCATCATCATCATCACCATAATCAGAGTCATCGCATCACAAACAGCATCATGATCAGACTAATCATCATCATCATCATCATCATCATCATCATCATCATCATCATCATCATCATCATCATCATCATCATCATCATCATCATCATCGTCATCGTCATCGTCATCGTCATCACCATCACCATCACCATCACCATCACCATCACCATCACCATCATCATAATCGTCTTCATCATCGTCACCGTCATCCACAAATCCCACCAGCCCTTTGGGGCGTCGCCCTGCGCACGAAGCTCCTCCGCTGCTCCACTGCGGAGCACTGGCGTCTGGCCGACCGCCTGGGCTGCCACTCTGCTCGCCCCTTGGGGGAGGCGGCGGCGGCCGCGCGCGGCTGCTGGGCGGCCGGGATGCCGGTGCCGACGCGGAGGAGGCGATGGCCACACGGGCAACTGGGCCAGACGTCGTGCATCCCCCGGGCCTGGAGCATCAAAAACCCGCCCTCGCCCAACCGCAATCCGGGCCTCTGGCTACGAGGAGCTCCATCCCGGCCTCTACGGCGGCGCCTTCGGGACGACCGCGATGCTCCTCTAGGCTCTCGCGGGCGAGGGGCACGACGAGGCGCAGAGGTGCAAGCCGATCCATAGGAAGTGGAGCTGGACGGCGAGGTGGTGGCCGTTCACTCCGACTCGGGCTGCGCGTGCAGCCCGAGTCGGCGCCCGTGGTGTCGGGGTCGGCGGTCGGCGCCTGTCGCGTGCCTGCTGGTTGCCCAGTCGGTCGAGCATGGGGGCAACTTCGACGAGAAGAAGTGTGCGCTCGGCGAGGCTGCGCCCTCGGCAAAGTGCGAGTTCGAGGACGACGCTCACGGCTTCAGCTCGTGGTGAACGCCAGAGGGCCCACGGCGGCGGGCACCAGGGTGGCGCTGGGGAGCGGGAAGCACAAGCTCGAGGTGGCGGCGGCGAGCGGCCGCCCTTCGGAGGTCTCCGCCCTGGTGCTGGGCATGGAGGCCGAGTCAGAGGAGCCCGTGGAGAAGCTCCAGCAATGGATCGAGATAGACGTGCTCATCGACCGCCTGGCCTCGATGGACGTGCAGGTGGATCGTGAAGCCCTCAAGGAGGCTACGAGGGAGCAGCTCGAGGAGCTCGTGTCGCTCCACCTCGAGTTTGAACGCCTGCAGGACGAGAAGCATCAGGACAAGGCCGAGCTTCTAGAGGCCAGCCTCCCCGAGCCTGTCAAGGCGCCCATGAGCAAGTCGGCGCGCAGGCGGGCGAGGAAAGAGCAGGCCCAACGTGATGCGCAGCAAGCTGAGCAAGAGTGGGTTCAGCACAATACCGCGAAGCATGAGAAGTTCAAGCAGAATGTTCGCGCACGTGGACCCCGAGAGAGGCCTCCTCGCACAGCAGCGCAAGAAGTGCGAGGGCGCTGTGCACACGCGGCGGCTGGGGCCGCGGCGGCGTGAGCGGCGTGCGAAGCCTTGCGGGGCTAAGCGGCCCATCCCCCCGTCCCTAGCCAGGGGCAGAAATGAGACGAGTGATGGGCTGCGCTGTTCGGGTGTCCCTCGGCTTTCGCCCCCGAGGGAGCCCCCCCCCAGGTCAGGGCGAGTGCAAAGGCGCATTTCGCACGCTGGCTAGTGCAGGCGACGCAGCTGGAGGACGGCTGCGGGACCTCTCTTCTCTCTCCCTTCCTCCTTCCAGGAGCGTCCGATCCTCCTCCTCCTCCTCCTCCTCCTCCTCCTCCTCCTCCTCCTCCTCCTCTTCCTCCTCCTCCGCCTCCCCGTCCTCCTGCTCTTGCTTTCCCGCCTCCTCTTTCTTCTTCTCCCCCTTTGCTTGATATCCCTCAAAGTTTACCCTTGTTGGTACCCACTGAATGCATCTTGCTTCTGGCCCGCAACCCAGGTCCCCAGGCTCCACGCCTGGCAGGATCGATATGACTCGATGGATACTGCTTCGGTACCACTGTAAATCCTCTGACTCAGAACCCAGGCCACGAAAACCCGAGCAGCATCCGAGACTCTGGACACGATAGCGGGGGGGGCCGAAGGCCATTCGATGATGCAAGGTTTTTGAGCGCGCGCGCGTCGCCCCTAGGCCAGCGCACACGTAGTACAGTCAACCCGAATTAGACGGACACACGATATGGATGCAGAGGCTTTGAAAGGCCATGTCGGTCGACACTCTGCGAGGGGGGCACGGCCAGCAAAAGCAGCCAAGGATGGGCCGAGGGGGGAGGATGCAAGGGCAACTTTGGAGACTGGCTCATCCTGACTATGCGGGTTGGCTGCACGAGCATGCCAGGGCGATGCCGACGAAGGGTAAAGCAGAGTGGCAAGCCGCAACGTGCGCCTCGCGCGACTTCTCCTCCGCCCGGTGCCTGCTCTTCTCGCTGGCCTGATGCAGCAGAGACGCGGGCCAATGGAGCGGGGGCGGAAGCACGAGGAGGAGGGAGGGCAACGATAGCGTTGGCCTCCGTGTCCTCCTCCTCCTTTTCCTACTCCTCCTCCTCCTCCTCCTCCTCCTCCTCCTCCTCCTCCTCCTCCTCCTCCTCCTCCTCCTCCTCCTCCTGGTGGGCCCTCCCCGCAATGAAAACAGATTGTTGAAGTGACCTATGAAGAGGGATCTTGGAGGAAGGGTGTATTGCAACATCGTTGATGCGTCTATGGTTTATCATGGTTCTCCTCTTTCTCCTCCTCCTCCTCTTCCTCCTCCACCTCCTCCTGACCTACCTCCTTCCTCCCCCCAGTCCTGGGCGACGAAAAAGATACTGGCGATCCCCTTTGTATAATTGTTTGGCCTCTGGGAACCGTCTCCTGGCCCCAAAAAAACGCTCAAGGGAAAAAAGCTCACAAGATGGAAAGCTGGACCTGGGTGAATTGGTCGGGGCCTCGAGGAACCGACGTCACGAAAGGAATTTCAACATGGGGGGAGGGGGTCCTCTTCTTCCCTCTCCTCTTTATTCCTCATCCTCCTCATCCTCCTCCTTATCCTCCTCTTCCTCCTCATCCTCCTCCTCTGGGTGTGCACTCCCCGCAATGGAAGCTGATTGGTAAAGAGGGAACTACAACATCGTTGATGCGTCTTGAGTTTGCATTGATCCTCCTCCTCCTCCTCCTCCCCCTCCTCCTCGTCCTCATCCTCCTCCTCCTCCTCCTCCTCCTCCTCCACTGGGTGGGCACGCCCCGCAATGGAAGCTGATTGGTACAGGGACCTGTCTACAGAGGGAGCTTGGAGGAACAGTGTACTGCAATATCGTCGATGCGTCTTGGCCTTGAACTGATCCTCCTCCTCCTCCTCCTCCCTCCTCCTCCTCATCATGATCATCCTTCTCCTCCTCTTCCTCCTCCACCTCCTGCTCCTGTCCCTCCTCCCTCCTCTGTCCTCCCCTCACTCCTGGGATTCCTGGGCGACGGAAAAAAAACACGGGTAGTCCTCTTTGCACAGTGTCCTGGCCTCCGGGGGCCGCCGCCTGGCCCCAAGAGACCGTCAAAGCAAAGCAGCTCACAAGACGGAAAGCCAGACCTGGGAAAAAATGTGCCGGGGTCTCCAGAAACCGGCGCCACGAAAGGAAATGCAGCACGGGGGGGAAGGGTCCTCTTCTTCCTCCTTCGAACCCTCCTCATCATAATTATCCTTCTCCTCCCCCTCACCCTCCTTCTCCAACTCCTCCTCTTCATCCTCCAACGCTTCGTATTTTTGGTTTCAGTCGTAGTATTATTCGTAACATTCATCTTCGTAGTGGCATGATGTGTCTTGGTATTTTGCTTGCTGTATTCGTACTCTGCTCATTATCAAGGTTAGTATTTCGCGTACTATGATGATTATTATGACTAGTGTGACTGTTGTGGCTCCTCCTCTCTGTCCTCCGCCTCCTCCCCCTCCTCCAGGCAGATACGTCCCGCAATGAAAGCAGATTGTTGAAGGGGCCTATGAAGAGGGAGATTGGAGGAAGGGTTATTGCAACATCGTTGATGCGGCCTAGGGTTAGACTGGTCCTCCTCTTCCTCATCCTATTCCTCATCCTCCATGATGATGATCACCGTCATGATCATCATCGCCGGCATCATAATGATAAGCAGCATTACCATCATGACCACCACCATCATCATCATCATCACCATCATCATCAGCAGCAGCATCACCACCCGTATCATCATCATCAGCAGCATCATCATGATCAACATCTTCATCACTATAATCATCAGCATCAGCAACATGAGCAGCACCATCACAATCATCATCACCACCACCATCACCATCATCATCATCAGCAGCATTATCAGCATCAGCATCATCACCAGCATCATCATAATCAGCATCATCACCAGCATTCCTCGTCATCACCATCACCATCACCATCACCATCAGCATCATCATCCCAGTCATCGCCATCGTCATCGTCATCATAGTCATCAGCATCGTCATCCAGCATCATCAGCAGCAGCATCACCATCACCGTCGTCGACATCTTCATCATCATCATCATCATCATTAGCAACAGCAGCAGAAGCAGCATCGTCCCTCTGGCCTCGTCATCAACCGCATCAGCAGCAGCTGCATCATCAACAGCACTAGCAGCATTCGCAGCAGCAGCAGCATCATCAGCACCAGCATTTCATCATCAACACCACCAGAACTGCACCACCACCACAATCATCATCCTGATCCTCATCCTCATCCTCATCCGCATAATCATCCTCATCCTCCTCCTTCTCATCCCCCATCATAATCCTCATCTTCATTCACATCAGCATAACCATCACCATCACCATCGTCATCACCATCACCATCACAATCATCATCAGCAGCATCAGCATCACCATCATCATCATCATGATCATCATCAGCATCAGATCATCATCATCATCAGCATCGCCATGATTAGTTAAATCATCGTCATCCGTAGCATATAGTCATCAGGATTGTCGTCAGCACCATCATCGCCATCCTGATCATCATCGTCATCAGCATCATCATCAGAATCAGAATCATAATCGCAAGCATTATCATAATCAGCATAAGCAGCATCATCATTGTTGTTACTGTTTGTACACTCATCATCAGCAGCAGCATCAGCATCAGCATCATCATCACCTCCATTGTCCTCAGCAGCATTGTCGTCATCAGCAGCAGCATCATCGCGATCATCAGCATCAGCAGCAGCAGCAAAATCATCATGATCAAAATCATCATCAGCATCGCCATTAGCATCACCAGAATCAGCATCATCAGGCTCATCATCATCATCAGTATCATCATCATTGTCGCTATCATCACCATCACCATCACCATCATCACCTTCATCATCTGCATCATCATCAGCTGTCTCCTCTCTCTTGTCCTGCTCCGCCTCATCCTCCGATCCTCGCCCTCCTCCTACTCCTCCTCGTACTCCGCCCGCGTTGGCACGTGCGCGCCGTCGTCGCCGTCATCCTCGTCGTATGATTGGGCATCAACCCCTCGATGACTTGAGCTCGGTATGTCTAGGGTCATGGGTGGGTGGGATACTAGTGTTGTGGATGCCATGACAATGGACACTCTAACAATCCGATCATTGAATTAAAGATGCGTTTAAAATGTGCAAAACATATTATGAAGCATGTTTCAAACGTGTTTTCAAAATATTTAAGACAGATTTGAAACATCTTTTAGACATCTGGAAATCATTTGGCAGCACGCTTCCTCTCCACTCATCGACTTCCACAAAGCTAGTGGACCTTCAACCCTAAACCTTGAACCCTCCTCGCTACTCCTCCCTCTCCTGGAGGGCGAGGGCACGCGTGCCCCAGGAGGCCGCGTGCCCCAGGCCGGCCTTCGCCTTCGCCTTGGTGCGGTGGCCCTGCGCCTTCGAGGCGTCGTATCTGAAGGAGGCCTCCACGTAGTCCTGCGGCACCCCCCCTGCTCACGCCAAAGTCCCTCCGTCATGTGTGCATCCTCCTTCTCCTCCAGGTATACATCCACCTCCTCCTCCTCCTCCTACATCCACCTCATCCTCCTCCTCCTACACCCACCTCCTCCTCCTCCTCCTCCTCCTCCTCCTCCTCCTCCTCCTCCTCCTCCTCCTCCTCCTCCTCCTCCTCCTCCCTCCTCCTCCTCCTCCTCCTCCTCCTCCTTCCTCCTCCTCCTCTCCTCCTCCTCCTCCTCCTCCTCCTCCTCCTCCTCCTCCTCCTCCTCCCTCCTCCTCCTCCTCCTCCTCCTCCTCCTCCTCCTCCTCCTCCTCCTCCTCTCCTCCTCCTCCTCCTCCTCCTCCTCCTCCTCCTCCTCCTCCTCCTCCTCCTCCCTCCTCCTCCTCCTCCTCCTCCTCCTCCTCCTCCTCCTCCTCTCCTCCTCCTCCTCCTCCTCCTCCTCCTCCTCCTCCTCCTCCTCCTCCTCCCTCCTCCTGTACAGCTCCCTGAGCCCCTGGAGCCTCTGGAGCCTCTGGGGCCTCCTCCTACATCCAAATCATCCTCCTGCTCCTACTCCTCATTCTCCTCTTCCTCATCCTGTATAGCTCCTGGAGCCCTCTGGGGCCTCCGACAAGGACAAGTCGATCGTTAAAGGCCTCAAAGATGGCCTGGACATGAACAGAACATGGACATGCGTAGTGGACTGGAAAGAGTGGACCCACCGTCAATTCTTGCCAGTGGGGGCCCGCCCTTGCCTGAACTGCTTGAAAGCGCTCCGCCCCATTGCCATGATCCTCGGTGCGGGCACGGCTGCACCGGTCCCCTCACCTCGTCTGTGGCCTACGTCCCGCACCGAGCGCGGAAACAAGTCTTGCCACACACTGTTTTTCCTTTTTTCCTTCGTCGGCGGTGAGGCGGATCTGCTGCACCAGCGCAAGAGCTGAACGGGGGCACCGAGGAGCGAGTTGGCCAGCGTGCAAGAGCGGGGAGAGGACAAGTCTTGCCACCCACACACACACACACACACATAGGGAACCGAACTCTATACACCGACGCCTTTGTCTAGCCTCACCCTGAATCTCGCAGAGGAAAGCGGATCCTGGTGTATACGGGATCTTGGTGTATACACTCTTCGTTGCCTCCCCAGGAACGCGGGGGAAAAAGCATGCACTGCACCACCCCGACGTCGCCCCCGACCCTCAGAAAAAGTCCTGGGATTGAAAAACCACCCGCCACTGGTAATGTATATGGGGGACCGCGTGCGAACCCTACCCCTACCCCCCCCCTCAGAAATCGTGGGGGGTAGGGGTAGGGTTCGCATGTGGCCACCTATCCATCCGGGGGGCCGATGCACACATGGTATGTGTACGCGTGGATGGTGCCGAAGCAACCCCTGGGAAGTCGCGGTAAGAACGAGGACTGCACATACCACGCCCGATTGAGCCCGCCGCCAATCTGGGTCAGCGCGTAAGTTGCGCTAGCCCGGAGGCGCGGCCCCCTAACACACGCACACACACACACACACACACACACACACACACACACACGCGTACACCATACACGCACACGCACCCGCAGCCTGTGCGTGCCGTGTGCGCAGGCAGCGGCTCTCGGGATGCCTCGCGGCGCCGCGGCGGCGGGGCGGCTCCGCCTCGGGGAGCGCCGGCCACGCTGCCCTCGGCAGAGCTCCTCCCTGACGGAGGAGGCGCCCGTCGTCCCCTCTCACGGTCTAGCACTGTCGACAGTGAGATCGACAGTGAGATCGACAGTGAGATCGATCATGAGATCGATGTGGCGTCCCGAGGTGTCCCGTGGTGTCCCGTGGTGTCCTGTGGTGTCCGTTGAGTGAGATCGATAGTGAGATCGACAGGGAGACCGATAGTGAGATCGAGAGGCGTCCCGCGGTGTCCCGTGGTGTCCCGTGGTGGCCCGTGGTGTCCCGTGGTGTCCCGTTGAGTGAGATCGAGAGTGAGATCGATAGTGAGATCGACAAGTGTCCCGTGGTATCCCGTGGTGTCCCGTTGAGTGAGATCGATAGTGAGATCGATAGTGACATCGACAAGTGTCCCGTGGTGTCCCGTGGTGCCCCGATGTGTCCGGTGTGTCGTGGTGTCCCGTTAAGTGAGATCGATAGTGAGATCGATGGAGTCAGATGTTGGTTTCCCCCCCTTCCCCCCCCCCCACACAACCTCCTTATCACCCGAAGGGTGGTCGTATAGGTAAATGAATATTGCGTTCTCGACGTTCCGCTTCCGATGCGAGGCCTCAAGGTGGCCCCAAGATGACTCAGAAAAGGCCCAAGAGGGGCCCAAGAGGCCCCCAATACGACGCCAAGATCGCCTAAGATCGGCCCAAGACCGCCCCAAAAGGCTATGTTTATGGCCCCAGGGGGAAGACGAAAATCAAGGAGCCCTCCTCCTTTGGTCGATAGCCTCCAAGATGGCCCCAAGAAGTCCTTCAGGGCTGCCAAGAAGGCCCCAAGAGAGCCCCAAGAGCACCTCAAAAGATCCACAAGACCCCCGAGAAGAATCCCAAGAGGACCTCATGATCCTCCAAAAGGTCCTAAGAGAGCTCCAAGAGGGCTCCAAGAGGCGATCCTTTCCCTTTTGCTCCTCTTCCTCGTCGTCATGGTCGTCGTGGTCGTCGTGGTCGCCGTGGTGGTGGTCGTCGTCGTCCTCCTCCTCATCCTCCTTCCCTCGCCTCAACGAGGGCCCCAGGGATGGCCCCGAGAAGCCCTCCAAGGACACCCCCTTGCTCTCAGAGATGTCTCTGTTTACCTGGATTGCCCGCTTTGTTTCACTATATGTGCATTTTCGTCCCGCTTCCCCTCCGCTCTCATGGTCAGGGTTTCTGAATGAGCTGGTGGGGATACGCGCAGCACGAAGTCTAACGTAGTGTAGGGACATACGAATAGGGAAATTCAAGAGATGGTTTACACTGGTCATGATCGTCATCATCATCATCATCATCATCATCATCATCATCATCATCATCATCATCATCATCATCATCATCATCATCATCATCATCGTCACCGTCATCATCGTCATCGTCGTCATCATCATCAGCATCATGATCACAGCTATCGCCATCATCATCATAATCAGTATCATGATGATCATCGTCATCATCATCATAATCATCATCATCATCATCAACATCATCATCATCAACATCATCATCATCAGCATCACCATCGTCATCGTCATCATCAGCATCATCATTGGCATCAGCATCAAGATCAGCATCAGCAGCATCATCATCATCAGCATCATCATCGTCAGCATCATCAGCAGAATCATCATAATCATCATATGCATCATCATCACCATCGTCACCATGCACATCAAAATCACATCCATCAATACCACCTTGATCACACTCACCGTCATCATCATAATCATCATCATCAGCATCATCATCATCAGCACCGTCATCAGATTCTTCGTCGTCATCGGCGTCGTGGGCGGCGCCATCGTCATCATCATCAACATCATCATCAGACAGCAAGAACATCAGCGTAAGCATCATCACCACAACCAGCATCAGCAACGTATTCATCAACATCAGCATAATCACACGCAGCCTCATCATAAACATCAGCAACATCGCCGTCATCGTCATCACCTGGGTCGTCATCATCATATGGTTCATCAGCAAAATCATCATCAGCAGCAGCATCATAATCATCATCACCATCATCATCATCATCAACAGCATCATCACCATCGTCGTCATCACCACATCATCATCATCAGCACCATCATCATCATCATCGTCACCATCATCATCATCACCATCACCATCAGCATCATCACCATCGTCATCACAAGCATCATGATCGTGACCATCATCATCATCATCATCATAATCATCATCAGCATCATCATCAGCATCATCAGTATCGTCATCGTCATCTCCATCGTCATCATCATTGCCAGCAGCAACACCACGACCACCATCACACCATACCTTTCTACTCATATCCCGCATGATCCTCATCCGCCTACGTAGCCAAACTGCTCCTCATATTCATCATGTCCGAAGTCAAGCCCTCCCTTCCCCCTCCATCCTCATATTGCTCCTCCTCCTGCGCAGCATTTCTCTTCCCCACCCCCCTTCCCACATTCAGACCTCCCTCCTGGCTCTCCTCCTCGTCACCTCCCGCATCCTCCTCTCCCTCCTCCTCGTCCTATTCCTCATGTTCCTCATCCTCATCCTCATCGCCATCATCATCAACATGCTAGTCATTGTGACCATGGGCATAAATCAGCATCAGCATCATCATCATCATCATCAGCAGCAGCAGCAGCATCATCAGCATCATCATCATAATCATCAGCAGCATCATCATCATCATTGCCATGACCATCACCATCACCATCACCATCACCATCATCAGCATCATCATCATCATCATCATCATCATCATCATCACTACCAGCATCATCAGCATCGCCACCACCATCATCATCATCATCATCAAAGCAACCTTCGTCCTCTGCATCATCCTCATAGTCGTCGGCGTCGGCGTCGAAATAGACGTCGGCGTCGGTCTCGGCGTCGGCGGCGGTATCGGCGTCGGTGTTGGCGTCGGCGGTGTGATCATCACCACCATCACCATCATCGCTATCATCATCACCATCAGCAGCAGCAGCACCATCATCATAATCATCATCATCACCATCAGCATCATCATCATCATCACCATCAGCAGCAGCAGCACCATCATCATAATCATCATCATCAGCATCAGCATCATCGTCATCATCATCATCATCATCGTCAGCATCAGAATCATCATCATCATCATCATCGTCCTCATCATTACCACCATCAGCATCGCCATCATCATCAGCATCACCATCATCATCAGCATCAACATCAGCATCATCATCATCATCATCATCATCAGCATCATCATCATCATCATCATCATCATCATCATCATCATCATCATCATCACCACCACCACCACCATCATCATCATCATCATCATCATCATCATCATTATCAGCATCATCATCAGCAGCAGCATCAGTCAAAGCATCAGCATCAGCATCAGCATCAGCCCTAATCGGTCTGCTCATCTTCCGCATGATCCTCATCCGACTACGTAGCCATCCTACTCCTCATCTTCATCAAGTCCGAAGTCCAGCCCTCTCTTCCCCCTTGCTCCTCATCATGATCCTCCTCCTGCGCCGCACTTGTCCTCCCCATCCCCCTCCCCACCCTCCCAGTCCTCCTCCTCCTCCTCGTCCTCCTCCTGCACCTCCTGCTTCTCCTCCTCCTCCTCTTCCTCATCCCCCCCCGCTTCTCCTCCTCCTCCTCCTCCTCCTCCTCCTCCTCCTCCTTCCCTCCTCCTCCTCCCTCTCCTCCTCCTTCTCTCCTCCTCCTCTCTCCTCTCCTCATCCTCATCCTCATCCTCATCCTCGCCCTCCTCCTCCTCCTCGTCCTCCTCCTCCCAAGTTTTTTCGTCCTCCGAATCCTCATCACCATCATCATCAAGATGATGTTCATCAGCACCATCAACAGCATCATCAGCATCATCAGCATCAGCATCAGCATCAGTATCAGCATCATCATCATCATCATCATCATCATCATCATCATCATCAGCATCATCATCATCATCATCATCATCATCATCATCAGCATCATCATCATCAGCATCATCATCATTATCATCATCAGCATCATCAACAGCATCATCAGCATCAGCACCATCATCATCAGCCGCGGCATCAGCAGCATCCTCATCATCATCATCATCATCATCATCATCATCATCATCATCATCATCATCATCATGATCATGATCATCATCATCATCATCATCATCATCATCATCATCATCAGTATTATCATCAGCATCGTCATCATCATAATCACGAACATCAGCATCACCAGCATCAGCATCAGCATCACCATCATCATCACCAGCATCATCAGCATCATCATCGAAATCAGCATCGTCATCATCATCATCATCATCATCATCATCATCATCATCATCATCATCATCATCATCATCATCATCATCATCATCATCATCATCATCATCATCATCATCATCATTACGAGAGAGCGTGATCCACCGCCGCTTTACTGTGGAAAATTGCCGCCCTTTTCCTCCGGAACCCAGGGTCCCCCCCCCCCTGCTGGAACCCCCGCCCCCCTTCCCCCGGCAAAACCCCCCCCCTCCCCTAACCCCTCCCCCCCCCCCCCTCGAACTCGAAAACCGGGGGGGTCACTACCGGTTCGAACCCCCCCCCCCCTCGAAAACCGGAGGGGGGGGTCACTACCGGTTCGAACCACTGAGCTGTCCCACTGTTCCCACCACTGTCCCCACTGTCCCCACCACTGTCCCCACTGTACCTCTGTCCCATTGTCCCACCGCCGTCCTCGCCACCGCCTTCACCACTGTCCCCACCACCACTGTACCCTCCACTGTCCTACTGTTTCCACCACATTCCCACTGTCCCCACACCACTGTCCCCACCACCACCGTCCCCACCACTGTCCCACTGTCCCCACTGTTCCCACCATTGTCCTCCCCATTGTCCCCACCACTACCGTCCCCACCACTGTCCCACTGTCCCCACCACTGTCCCGTTGTCCCCTCACCACTGTCCCACCACCACCGTCCCCACCACTGTCCGCACCCCCCTCGGTTTTCGAGGGGGGGGGGAGGGGGGGGGGTTCGAACCGGTAGTGACCCCCCCCGGTTTTCGAGTTCGAGGGGGGGGGGGGGTTCGAACCGGTAGTGACCCCCCCCCTTTTCATGATGAACTGGGGGGGGGGGGGAGGGGTTCGAACCGTAGTGACCCCCCCCGGTTTTCCGGAGGGGGGGGGGGGAGGGATTCGAACCGGTAGTGACCCCCCCGGTTTTCCGCCAGCAGCGGTAGAACACGCTCTTTCCATCATCATCATCATCATCATCATCATCATCATCATCATCATCATCATCATCATCATCATCATCATCATCATCATCATCGTCGGTACCACCACCATCATCATCATCATCATCATCATCATCATCATCATCATCATCAAGATGATATCATCATCAGCAGCATCAACAACAGCATCATCAGCGTCGTCAGCATCATCGGCATCATCATCATCATCATCAGAATCAGCAGCATCACCATCATCATCAGCATGAGCATCACCATCATCATCATCATCAGCATCAGCATCATCACCATCAGCATCATCATCAGCAACAACAGTATCATCATCATCAGCATCATCACCACCATCACCACCACCGTCATCATCATCATCACCATCATCATCAGCAACATCATCAGCATCATCAGCATCGTTATTAACATCATCACCATCATCAGCATCACAAGCATCAGCATCAGCATCGTCATCGTCATCATCATCAGCATCATCATCATCATCGTCAGCAGCATCACCATCATCATCAGCAACAGCATCATCGGCATCATCAGCAGCAGCAGCAGCAGCATCATCAGCATCATCATCAGCAGCATCATTAGCAGCACCATCATAGTCGTCATCATCAGCATCAGCATCAGAATCATCATCACATCATTATCAGCATCAGCATCATCATCAGCAGTATCAGCAGCATTATCACCAGCATCATTATCATCATCAGCATCGTCGTCAGCATCATCATCACCATCACCATCATCATCATCATCATCATCATCATCAGCATCAGCATCAGCATCAGCATCAGCATCATCATCTGCATCACAATCGTCATCAGCATCAGCATGAGCATCAGCATCATCAACATAATCATCATCACCACCAAAACCACCAACACCAGCATCATCAGCATCATCATCATCATCATCAGCATCGTCATCATCATGAACATCATCAACAGCATCATCATCATTCTAAACAGCATCATCATCATCAGCATAATCATCACTAATAGTATCAGCAGCATCGTTACCATCATCACCATCACCATCATCATCATGCTCATCATCATCGTAACAATCAGCAACACCATTGTCGGCGTCATAGTCACCGTCGGCATCGTCATAGTCCTCATCGTCAGCGTCACCAGCGTTTTCATCAGCTCATCATCAGCATCATCGTCATGATACGCATCATCCTCATCATCATCATCAGCAGCAACATCATCAACATCATCGTCATCAACACCACCACAATCAGCAGCATCAGAATCAGCATAATCAGCATCAGCATCATCGTCGTCGTCATCATCATCATCCTCATCCTCATTCTCATCCTCATCCTCCACCACTTTTCCTCTTCCTTCAACCCCTCCTCCTGCTCCTCCCCCTCATCCTCCGCACCCTTCTCCTCCCTTGCCTCCTCACTCCCCCTACCCCTCCCCCTCCCCCCTCCTCCTGCGCAAGCCAGGGGCCTCACCTTCGCGCCTTCACCCCGCCCCAAACGCACACACACACACACATTGACCATGGCCAGGAGCGCGGCGAGGAGGAGGGCCCTCCCTATCATCCCTCCTCCTCTCCCGCCTCCCCCTCCCTATTCCGCCCCTGTCCCCTTCCTATTGCTATCGTCCTGCGGGGCACCAGGCCTCGGCGGCCCAAAGATGGGGCCATGACGGCCTGGGCCCTAATGAAAAGAAGGGGTCCAAGGTTGGACTTGGACTGCTCGAAGCACCTCGTCCTCAGGGCCCCATCGCTCGGGACCCGATCTTCGAGCAACCGACAGCCCTGCTCCCACAAGCGGCGTCCTGTCGGCACGCAGGGCACTTGCCGTTCATCTGCTCCATGATGTAATGGACGCAGAATAGGCACACCTCGAGCGGACAGAACTACATCCTCCTCGCCCTCCTCGTCCTCCTCCACCCCCGAGCCCTTTTGGTGTGTCTGGTCGTTTGGACGCGCCTTCGGCCGTTTAGGGCGATGTCCCTGTGCTGCTAGACTGGACCCCGCTGGTTCCCTTGGGGAACTTCTGCGGATCGCGGGACGCCTCCGGGGAGCCCATGAGAGAGACCTCCGGAGACCTGCGACCACATCCGGAGCCCTCCTCCGTTTTTCCACCTTCTCCATCCCTTTTCATCGGGAACAACTCCTCCATGTCGCACCCCGACCCGCGTCGGCAGGGCGGGCCGGGCGTTTCGCCAAATACTTCCCAGCCATGTGTAATCCTCAGGCTTCAAATTCCAAGTCGCCTTGCGATTGGTAAAACGAGCGGGGCACATCGTGGGCGGGGCCCGCCAAATGGAAACGCACGGCGGCGGCGCCAGTGATTAGCGCCGACGCCAGGCTGCCACCAAAAGGGCGACAGGAGCAACAACGCCTCCGCTGCAGCGGCGCGCTCGGGCCAAAACGGCCACGGACTGGGCGGGGCGGCGGGAGGCAAGGGCGGCAGAGGCAAAGACTGTCGCCGCCGCGACCGCCGCGTTATATCCCAGTTTCGCAGTCGAGCGGAACTTCCATCGCCACGACGGTAAGGGGCCCTGGAAAAAGGCGGGCCCCGAACCCTCGAGTTCCCGCTTCCTCCTCCTCCTCCTCATCCTCCCCCTCGTCCTCCTCCTCCTCTTCCTTCTCCACCTCCTCTTCCTCATCCTCCTCGTCATCGTCCTCCTCCTCCTCCTCCTCCTCCTCCTCCTCCTTGTTTATTCCCCTCCTCCCCCTCCTCCTCCTTCTCCCCTTCCTCCTCCTCCTCCTCCTCCTCATTTTTCCTCCTCCTCCTCCTCCATTTCCTCCTCCTCCTCCTCCTCCTCTTCCTCCTCCTCCTCCGCCTCCTCCTCTCCTCTTCCTCCTCCTCAGCCGCGCCCTCCTGCAGATGAGGGCGGGAGACGAGTTTGTTGAACGAGAGACCGTAAGCAGAGTCAACATACGCGCCAGGGGAAACGCAGGACGGACGAGCAAACAAAGCCATGGCCTCAACGAAACCTCCGGCGTCGGACGACGCAAGCTCACGGGCCCAACGCAGCGGGCAGCGCGCGCCGCCGGGCCGGCGAAAATAAACGAAGTCGCAGCGCACGTGCCCAATACTCACGCAGCGCACGTGCAGAGGGGTTGCACTCCGCGGGCCCGCCTCCCTCCTTGGAGGCAGCACGGCGTTCACGACGTCTGCCGTCGTCCGAGGGGCGCGATGGCTCGCCGAGCTCGCCGTCATCCCTGGCGCGCGTGATGCAAGAAAAGGTTTCGCGCCCCGCGGGGTCTGCTCCTCAGCCCCCGGGGGAGATCACTTATGAAGGGGCCCTGGGATACACAAATAAATACACACAAATAACAGGATTCCCCGTATTTTCTCATATTTTCTGGGTTTTTGTCTTCCCCCCCACTTCCCATATTTTCCTATATTTTCCTTGGAATCGACGATTAATCGTGTCTGTGTGTTTTTTCCCCTCCTGAATTTAACTAGTACTCGCGAGCTGACATTTCAGCAGCTGCACGGGTGGAGGGCGGGTGATCTTCAGAACGCGGCTCTCGCCTCGGCGACGCGCACAGCCGTCTTAAAAGGCTCGCAAGAGTGTCACGGATGGAGGGCGGGTCGTTTTCAAAATGTGGCTCTCGCCTCAGCGCCGCACACTCCCGTCTTAAGCGTTCACAACAGCTTCAAGGACTATGATGGCTGGCGTCCCAGAAATGGTGCTTTGCCACGATGCGGACCGATCGGGCGCAACAATCACGTTGATTCGCGGTGTTGAAGTCCCAGGGATGGTGTTCTGGCACGCTTCAGGACCGTCAGGACGCAATAGTAACGTTGATTCGCGTTTCTGAAGTCCCAGACTGTTGCCTTCCAACGGTGCATCTCCCTCAGTGAAAACCAATCCTTGTAGAGACCTGTGAAGGAGGAACTTCGAGGGAGGGTTACTTGCAACATCGCTGATGAGTCTGAGGTGTACACTGGTCATCCTCCTCCCTCCTCCTCCTCCTGTTCAAAAGCACCCCTGTCACCACGGCCAGTCGCGGCCCCGACACCAGGTCGGCATGGTGCCGGGGACACAGCTTGACATGACGAAATGAGATGAGACAGAGTCCTTCAGGCGCTTCGTGAAGGCCTTAGTCTAGGCCCCCTCGGACGCCTCGGAGAGAGCGGAGGCGTCAGAAAATTCGCCCTCCGCGTCCTTCGCACAGAGGCGTTTCCCCAGTGCTAGGGTAAAGTTTGAGCAGGGCCTCGCTGGGCAGAAGAAGAGCAGATGGCTGTATCCGCGCTGCGCTCTGCGCGAGAGCGTGGGGAGACGATGGCTTTGCGCTGTCGCGCTGCCCCCCTCGGGGGGGAAAGGAGAACGAGGAGGAACAGGATGATGAAGCGGCAACGCGAAGGACGACGAGGAGGAAAAAACGAGGAGGAGAACGCAGAAGGAAGAGGATGAGGATGTGGACGAGGAGGACGAGGATGAGGAAGAGGATGAGGAGAGGAAGAGGACGAGGCCGAGGAGGAGGAGGAGGAGGATGAGGAAGAGGAGGAGGATAACTTCGCGCCCGAGTGAGCGACAAAAAGAACGCCACGGTTTACGCTGGCCGCTAGCGTGGCGCCATCGTGGACAAGAGGGCGCTCAGGCGCGACCTTGCGCGGGAAGCCTGCACGCGAACGTCCCGCACAGGCGACCCAATGTTTTCATCCGACGCTCACGTGGCGGCCCTTGCGAAAGGAGGAGGGGAGCAGGGAGGAGGGGTGAGCACGGAATAGACATTCACTCGCCCACGCACTGAGAGCCGTGAGACCGTTCTTGACAAGCAGCCTTCATGCTGCGGCTTCGGCTCTGGTTATACCATGGCGCGGTGTGAATGCGAAGCCGGCTGGGTAAGAAAGAGCCGTGAATGGGTCACAGTGGCGCACTGGTGAACGCGTGGCAAGCAATTCCTGCTGACCGTTAGATCGCAAGCGTGTGCCACGTGACCGTATCATACCAAGTATGGCCTGTTTGGTATGAGATTGACGTACGTGCGTACGAGTGCGTATGCCCATTCACACTGAATGCGCACGATGGTTATACATGCTCTACACAGACACGCGCGTGTACGAGTGTGACAACTACTGTGTGCGCTTGAGACTGTCGCAATAAGTTTAGTGAATTGTGACCGTTACATGATGTGGCGGATCATCAGTATGTATATGCGTTGCGGGCACATGTGCAGATACTGCCCACGGACGCATAGACATGGAAGACCAGACATGCATTCACAAATACCCATGCGCGCGTGTCAGTGCGAATGTCAGACGTACTCCTCGTCATGTTTCGTCTCTCGTCCTTGTTGCAACGTGCATCCGCCTCACCACTCTCCTACGATCTGCATCCCCATTGTCACAATATTGTTCGTCATGCGCGCTGACTCATGCTCAGATTCGGACTTGACTTCGTTGTCGGGACGACCGCCATAATCAGCATCAATAGCAACAACACTGATGTTCACAGCGGAGAAATCCACTTCAGGCACGCGCATTGGAGTGATGTAAGACCGCTCGGCAACCCCACTCTGATCGAACACTCTCTGATCCTATCCCCCAGCAGGCCCTCCTGGCTGCAGGGGCGCGCGCCTGGTAATTGCACGAGCACGGGTAGAACGAGAGGTCCTCGCAATGAGAGCTGGACCCAGCGCGGCTGGGAAGACACCAACACGCGACCGCAGCAGGGCCGAGCAGCCAAGCAAGATATCTGCTGAGCGCGCGGGCACGGCCATGAATTTACAAATGACAAAAAGCTCCAGTGCTGAACAACAGGTCAGATGGTGTCGGGCAGGGCTGGACCTGAACGTTGTGTTTCGTTTTGTGCTCCTTATGTTGTTCGTTTTGCCCTATTTTTCCTGTACCTCCCGAGCAAAACGAAAAACAAGTACAGCCGAAGTCCAGCAAAACAGCATTGATTTGCGCATCCCAAGATGTTTCGGGGGGTCCCAGGAACCCCTCTCAGATCTAGCCGCTACCGCCCCCAGGACCCTCATCTCGGAACCCTCCCCGGACCCCCCCCCCGGGACCGCTCCAGGCACCCCCCCATAGGAGAAGCAAGAGGACCAGAAGAATCGAAGCGGGAGGAGGCCACAGAGCCGCGAAGATCACCGAATCTGGAGCCCCCCGGATCGGCGGCACTGGCCAAAGGCCATTGCTGAAGGGGCCCTGGGACACACAAATGAATACACACAAATAAAAGAACTCCCCATATTTCCCCATATCTTCGGGGTGTTTGTCTTCCCCACCACTTCCGATATTTTCCCGTAATTTCCTGGGGGCCGACGATGAATTGTGTCTGTGTGTTTTTGCCCTCCTGAATTACAATACAGCCGCAGTCCAGCAAAACAGCGTTTGGGCCCAGCCCTTCGGGGATCTCCTGACCCGGGTCAATCCAGACCCGGGTCAGCAGGAAACCCAAAAACTGCAATGCAGGAAAAACAAAAATAAACTGCAACGCAGGT